TTATTTCTTCTGCAACTGTGTGTCACTATCTAGTTTTATACTGTGTCATAATGTAACATATAAAATTCAGTCTAGATTCCTTTCACAGTGAGTAATGTTGAGTTTTAGTTATTTGCATAATGAAAAATGTAGGTACTTCTAAAACGGGATGGAATCTTTGTATGATGTTTTTATTTTTAGGGTAAATACGTATTTGTAAATTCCTGATACTCCAATAGTGGTGCTTGGTTTTCTGTACTATCACAGATGAAATCGTGTATCTATAGCTCTTAGTTCACATTCATTGTTAATGTAGAAAAGCAAGCTAAACAATGTTGGCTTATAGTCATAAAGTGTGAAATCAGAGGATGGTTTTGGAATATACTCTTCATGATTTTGGCCTCTAGCTCTTATGGTTACTTGCATTTTTGGAAACTAATTTTAGTATAGGAAAGACAGCCTGATAATTCTTGGGCAAATTGTTTTCCCAAAGATGCATTTTTATTAAGAACGAGAAAATCAGATCTTACATTTGTGTAACTATTTGTAATTGTCCTTGCCAAGAAATAAATATTCAGCATTTAGATGAGCTCTGCTATTCAAATGGCAGAGCAAAGATCATTCTACCTCCTTTTGGAAATCATCTCAAAATAAATAGAGCTGACAAATAATTGAATCCATATTCTATGTTCAACACAAAAAGAACATTTCTCATAATACATAAGAAACCATAATACATAAGAAAAGTGGCCAAATGTAGTGAGTCACTGGGGAGAAGTGCTGGGACGGTGGTGGCAGGAAGCTGAGAGATGACACGGGTGGTCAGAGACTGCATAGGGGGCCCAGCCAGCCAAGGCAGAGGCCATAACACCAGGCCAACAGCAACCCGTGGATTGGGACACTAGAGTGTATCATGTAGACTGGTGGCAGGAAGTGCCCTCGACCCCATTCGGCACCAGGATAAAGTCAGGGAGGTGGGCTGAGAGGCAGCACCTTCACACAAGCTGCAACCTTCAGGAAATGATCTGCCAGGCAGCAGTTAGGAGTCCTGCCCGGTGAGCCATATCAGCACTGCTTGCTGCCAGCTGCAGAGGGGCTCACTCACACGTGCCACACTGTGAAATGCCAAACTTTGCTAGCCTGGAGCACGACCTGGCCTCCTCTTCCTCAGAACCTCCACCAAGCTTCAGCTGAGGAGGAACTCACTGGATAAAATGATGGGCAGAAATGAAAAATCACTGTCATATGAGGTATGCCAAGTTAACATCAAACAATTGGAGTAAAATAATAGCAAAACAAAGCTGTCACAGATGAAGAATGCTCAAGAGAAAAAGCCTGGCATGGAGCAAACGATAAATATGACCAAATAGATCACCACTAAATTAAAAAAAAAAAAAAAGAGCAAGGCCATCATTCTACAGAACAATGGATCAAAGCAGAAACATAAGAGCTCAGGGGAAATTGTGCAAGAGAAAATCATAAAAAGAGATAAAACATGAGCATGTAGAGATCAGAGAGTAAGTGGAAGGAAAAATAAATCCCATCATCTGGGCTGTTCTCTGTGTGCAGCAGGCTTATCCTTAACTATGTTTAGAGAAAGTTGGGCTCCAGCTGTACAAGTTGGCATCTTTTATCTTCTTTTGTCAACTGTATGGAAACTACAAGGAGGCATGGAAACAAATTAATTATGCACCCAATTCAAGTCAGAAAAGGAACAAAGTTGAAGAGAAGCGGAATGAAATTTAAATTAAAAGCAAACTTTTATGTAAAAAGACCCAGAAAGGAACTAATAAATAAAAGCAACTGTCAATATTCTAGAAAAAAATGCCAAATAAGACAAATGATTCTTAATCTAATCATGGAAACCATAAAAACACAAATACACCAATTAAGGAACAATACGGGGGATATAAATTTAGAAACTGAGAAAATAAAAGGAATTAATATATTACTTATTTGTAACTACATCTGAAAATCTGGGTAAAACAGTTTTTCCCCCTGAGAAAATACAAATGATCAAAATGACCTCAAAAGAGAAAAATATCAGACAGTACCATGACACTTGAGTTGCGTCAAGGATTAGAGCTACACTGTCTATGAGAACAGCACAGTCAAGGTTTCTCAGTCTCCTGCTGCTGACCTTTGCTATATCCAGGTACAGCCATCGTGGATTTCTCAAAGAAGGAATACTTAACACATAAAGGGCCCAAAACACAAGGTTTGGATAAGGCGGCAGAGCAGGAGACATAGAAGGGAGCTAGAGAACGGGGAATGGAAGCTCTCCAGAGGCCGACTGGGGAAAGTCTGCATCCTAGAGCTACACAATATATCATTGAGGGTCATCCACGGTGGGACTTCCTCAAACATATTCCTTCTTTCCCCACCAGCTCTGATCAATCCAACCTACTTTCCTTTTCATTAAATAAGTAATGTTTAGTGCTGTTGCTCTTTGTTTTTAATTTGTTAACCATCTGGCCCTTTAGCTGGGTAACCTCTTCTATGAGAACAAAGACCCTGGCCCTGTTTTCCAACAGTGTGTACACATTATACATTGACCTTATATTGTGCCACTCATTACATACTCACTGAATGAATGAAGTGTGACATGCTGGAGAAGCAGTGGAGAACAACAAGGAACATGGTTGCCAAGACATAGATACTGGGCCCAAGGAGGAAGATGTGCCTCAGGAAGGTGCAATGGGACAGTGATAGTGATTACAGGGAGCAATGAGGATGTAAAAGGTCTTCCTGGGAAGAACTGAGAGCCTGCTGAGAGGTCAGGGGCCCTCTCCATTCAATAGGAGGGGAAAAAAGCACACTTTTATGCCTTGCTTGCAAAAAGTCAACCACTATAATCTGGAGAGATCTCATTTAACCCTTCATTTTACTTTCATCACAAGAAAGAAAATGAAATCCAGATTCTGAGAACTTGGTAAGCAGTAAACTAAAAGTGAATGACAGATGTGATTTGGCACCCCTCAAAGCCCTTATGTGGAGGTAGGCCACCTGGACAGGCTCTACTAGCTTCACAGAAGAAGGTTTGCTTGGCCCTGGGCTGTCCGACTTGTACGACTCTGCTTTCTGAGTGCTACACTTTAGCAAGTATAGAGACTTGAACATAATCAGAAGAATATACCGTAGGATGATAAAGATACTGAAAAGTAGGGTTAGGCAAGGGATAGTTAAAGGACCGGAGGCTATTTTGCTTAGTGATGGAAAGACTCAAAAGAGAAGTGATAGCAATCTTCAAGTACCCGAAGGGCTATCAAGTGGAAGAGGCTTTAGTCTCCTTCTGAATCATCTTGAAGGCAGAACCCAGACTAATAGTCAGAAGCTAGGGACAGATGGATTGCAGCTCAATACAAGCAAGGACCTTTGAGCTGTCAGAGCTGTGTGGGGATGGGAAGGCTGTGGCAGGAACCTGTTACCTGGTACTCGAGGTCATGCCACCTGCTGGCCTACAGCAAGGCTGTACACAGCACCAAGAGCTGCACTGGACATCAACCTAGTTGGCTCTAAATCCTCTCTTAACACTGAATCTGCCATATCAACGCTAACCTTTAACCTCAAAACATTTGTCTGAGAATCACCCGAGGTTAGTAGTTATCTGTGAGTGCTCAGTAGATTCCAGGGGTTCCACAAACACAAGGTGCAGCTACAATTTTTTCAGTATCTTGGAGGACTTCAATTCCACCCTGATCGTTATTATCTCTACTTATCCCTTAGCTCCTTCAACCTCATAAAGAGTTCTAATTTGACAATGCCAAATTTACTGCTATTATAAACACTATTCAAATTTTTGAAATGATTCATAAATAATAAATGTTTCTTCATCTTTCACTAATAAGAGATAGGCCCTGTATTTAGTTTGCTGATCACAGTCCTCTTCCCAAGGAGAAAGGACTGGAATAACTTTAGTTCTTACATCTCACATGATGGGATGGAATTTACTAATGTCAACAGATTCCTTACAAAAATGTCTTCATATTAATAAATCAACAAAAACCAAACACATTCATCAATGAATCCCAGGCTCTATTCTAATAGAACTTGACTTGTGTGTTTTATCTAGTGTTCTTTGGTGGCCCATCAATTTTCAGGCAATGAGAATGTCTGTTATTGAGTGACATAACTAACTTGTCAAAAGGTGTTATGACTTGGAAAAAATTAATTGCCAAATAAATGAAAGCCTCAATTCTATTTTAGGTGTTCGATATATTTTCTCTACCAAACTCCAATAGGCAGCAACTTGACAACTTTGAAATATTGTTTCCTTTCCATTTTTTTTTTCACCCATCAAAGAACTTAACAGAGAACAACACAACAAAGGTAGGGTGAGAGAAAAAAGCTGGGAAAACCAGGACAAGAGCAAACCAGACACAGACTTTGCTTAAAGTACAGCTAATCAAGCTGTAAAGCCACCCACATGCCTGAACATGTGTTCTCCAAGCTGTTTGTTTGTTGATGCATTTTACTCTTTGACTGACAGTTAAGATGACATCTGTGAAGAAAAATTTATTATATACTTTCATGTACTGTCATTACAACTCTCTAATGTTGAGTACTCAGGGAAAACTTTACAAGTTTCTATTTAAAGCTGAGAAGAGGTCAGAATAAATGGTGTCACAAATCATTGGCTGATCTTTTATGCATAGCGTCAGAACCCCCCCAATCCATCTTTGTGGAAAGCTTGCTAAAAAAATGAGATAATGGGGCTTGTCTTCAGGGATCCACTCCATTGTATGGTTTTGCCTCACATCAACCAGGAAAAGATCTGCATTGAACATTTGGCCATGAGAAGATCTCATGGAGGTCTGTTAGTGTTTGATAAATGTTCATAACTTGTCAGCACCGAGGAGGAGGAAATGCAAGGCCAAACGGGTGGAGGTTTTCAATGTGTTCATGTGGTGCCTCTGAGACAGACTCAGGTTGAACAAAGCTGTGGAGCAGAGGGTGGATCTTTGAAAACACATATGGTTCCCCAGTGACAAATCCTCTGTGTTCCACAATGCAGGGCCTACCTTGATTCCCATAGCTGGCCTCTATTCCAGACCCATCCCACGAGTCCACGGCACTGTCCACGCTGGGCACCGCGGCGGTGTACATGTCAGAGAGTTTGCTGGGCTTTTGCATTGAAGAGGAGTCCTCCTCCACATCTCCCAGGTCACTCAAGTGGCTGGGAATGGTGAACTTCTTGGGACTGGATGCTGACTGGGCTTTATAGACAGGAAAGAAGGTCAAGAGTCAGAGCAAATTTAAATGAAAAAGATCCGTAAATACTCTGCCACTGGAGAGTCATTTCCTTAGAAACACACATGTAGACATTGGCACATTCTTTTAGGGAAGGAAACGCACTGGAGATCCTTAATTGAGGCTCTCGACCCACTCACCATCTGTTTGTTTTTTAATTTTCAAGGTGACAGTCTCTCCTGCCATCTGTAGCAAATGGATGGCTTCACTCAGAGGCTTCCCTTTCAAGCTGCTGCTGTTGATGGCGAGGATCCTATCTCCTATGTGGATTGCACCAGTTCTGAAATATCAAACAGTAACAGGGAAGGTATACATAATCCCTGCATACTTTATCTATTTGCAACAATAAAGATTTGACAAGGGTCTCCAGAGGTCACTCCTTGCTTTTTTCCTGGGTAATGTTATAAGATACATCTGCTGTGAACTACTTTATAGTTTCAAATAAAATCAGTAAAATTATTTTAATTATTTTGAAAATGGACTTGGATAATTTTTAAACTCTAAGAAAGCTGGGTCATTTAATATCCCATTAGAAGGCCCCCCCCCAAGATTTATGTTGGACAATCAGTGTGGTGATGTGTGACTTTTTTTTTTTGGTATTGGGGATTGAACTCAGGGGCACTTGACCACTTAGCCACATCCCCAGCTCTATTTTGTATTTTATTTAGAGACAGGGTCTCACTGAGTTGTCTAGCCCTTGCTTTTGCTGAGGCTGACTTTGAACTTGCAATCCTCCTGCCTTGGCCTCCTGAGCAGCTGGGATTACAGGTGTGAGCTACCATGCCCGGCTCCATGGAACATTTTTTCTTCAGATTTTAAGTGTTTATTAATTCATAAGAAGTGATGTTCAGGGAGATGGGGACATACACCAGACCCGGGTGCAGCAGAGCTTCCCCTGTCAATGATTCTAAAGGTTGCAAAAGGCTAAATGCAAGGATCAATTAGTGCTATGTTTAAATCTGTCTCTGCCACCTGCCAGCAGGGGCACCACCAGTGTGACATAGTATCTTATGTTAACTTCTCTGGGCCCCAGTTTTTCATCACTATGATGGGGACAATCATTTCACAAGGAAACACTGAGGATTAAATAGGAAGACATGTCAAGGCTTGAGTATACTGCTTGAGACGCAGACTTAAGAAAATAAATTATTGGCAACAAACTAATAAACTTAGATCTTTTCTCTTCCCATCCACATTCAATTCTGAACTAGTGAATTGGCATTTACAATTCTGATGTGCATCACATCTGTCTTCGTGTGAAGCTCTGGATGGGGAAGGAATAAACTCTCAGCAGAGAAGTTGAGGAATGGTATAAAAACTCAGCTCTTTACTCTGGGATGAAGGTTGGAGAGTCTGAATTCCATGAGCCAGCCTCTGGTTGGACTGGCTCACTCTAAATACAGTGAGTGAAGGAATTACCCAACTCATCGTGCTGCTGGTGGTTGGTGTTCTAGACATAGCTCACTTCCAGGACAGTGGCAGAGGTGCTGGGCAGCAGCAACTGGGGCAACAGAGGTGACATGGGGCATACAGGCTAGGAGGGGGGTACTTAAGTCTACTATTGCATCTAGTCTTAAGGATTTTTTTTTCCCCAGGGGTGGGGGAGGCAGGAGAAAAGCTCTCTCGTAAAGAGTTTTAGTTTATAAAAGATCTAGGTCATAAACCATCAACTTTTTACTGTATCAGATAAATATTAATCTTTTCTTTGTTAGCTCCCTAACAGAGTTCTGAAGGACAGGAGGCCACCTGGCAATACTGGGTTTTATCTGATTAATAGCAGAATATCAAATTCTATCAGAGTAACCCTTCATGAGCTGGGTGAGTATCCTCATCCTTCAGATGAAGATGTTGGACAAGCCGATCTCTAAGGTATTTGAAGCTCCAAGATTACATAATGCTGTTTTGATTTTGCAAGCCAAGTGTCTTCGAGTGTCAGCATGAACACTGTGTGCATTCTTGAGCTGGGTCCCTGGAGAACAGAACTAGTTATAGGGTTTGTTCTATGCCCAACAACACATCTCAGAAAGAAATGTGGTTCAGGAGAGGACAGAGAGCAGGTGGCGTGTGTGCATCATTGGCAAAGGAACAGGTGGACATTCCACACTATAGGATGCTGTTCAGATGGGTCACTACACTTTGTATCCCCATAATCTTAGAAGATGAAGCCTGTTTCATTCTCTCTGGAAAACATGGCAGCTAGGCAGAGAACCTGTCAGGGAACAGAGGCTCAGCAAATGTTTTCAGAATTGAATTGGACAAGCCTTTTAACCTCCCCGAACTTGAGTCTCTTCAAAATGGATACAACATAAATCTACTGTGGTCAGTTGATACATTTCTGTAGATTGATATCAATGCTAAGCCCATGACATCGTTTACTGCCGGCAAAAATGCCCCTCAAAGTCAAGTCAGAGATCTGCTTGAGAGTTCCCCAGCTCTGAAATCAAACCTCTGTGCAGATTTAAAAGTCAACAGATAAACAGGAGAGGGGAGCATGTTTTTGTGTGGCTGGGATCAGATGCAGGTAATTATAGCAGTTCTTTCAAATTTTACCTTTCAGCTAATCCCCCTTTAGTGAGGCTTGAAATGATTATAGGATCAAATGGCTCTTCAGTTCCTGAAATTGTGATGCCAAGGGGCCCCCCGTAGCGCTTCAGCTCCACAGTGTAAATAATTGCTCCGGAACTTTCTTGCTCATCTGCAATAAATGCCAAGGAGTCATAATTGGTTTCTTTGGAAAAAGCAAAATAAGACACATATTCATATGTAAGGTAGGAAATTCAAAACATCACCATCAAAGCATTATGTCTCAGAAAATAATGACTTTAGGAAGTGGCATTTTCTTAATAGGATTTTACATTGTAATATACAGACACAGTTGTCGTCAGTGCCAGCAAAGGGGAATACTGCCTATCGATTTGTGTTTTCAAACTGTGAGTGATTCATCCACCTGGGGCTGCAGGACTTTCAGGCACAGTGCTGGAGTAGCATTTTGTTAAGCATGTGCTAAATACCTGTGGAATAAACATCTGGCTGATGTTTATGAGAGGAGAGAGTTACTCTGTCACAGAGAAGAGCTTGGGGCTATGGAATTCGCACTTTCAAGCTTTACCAGTAAAGTAACTCTCTTTTTGAGGGCGGGTACTGAGGGTTGAATTCAGGGGCACTTGAGCACTGAGCCACCTCCCTATCCATATTTTGTATTTTATTTAGAGACAGGGTCTCACTGAGTTGCTTAGTGCCTCGATTTTGCTCTGGCTGGCTTTGAACTTGCGATCCTCCTGCCTCTCACCCTCTCAACCTGCTGGGATTACAGGCATGTACCACTGTACCCGGCTACAAATAAACTAACTCTCAATGCATGAAAGCTTAGGGTTGGATCATGTGATAAGACATGGTTAAGTGAGACTTAGGTTAACTTGAAGGAAATTTAGAATTTCTTACATATCCTTCCTGACAGTGTCTTGAAATGTGAGTCTTATGGATGAATTCATGGGTATTAAAACAGAGGCTTAAATGATCTTTTGCTCTTAAGAGTAAAAGCTGTCCTAAGCTATGTTTCAGGAGCTCATGCCAGGCTGCCACATTGTCCCATGTTAATTTTGGTTATTTAGTGTTAGCATAAATGAAGACATTTCTGACTGTGGTCTACCTCAAGCATTGGCCAGAAAGATGTCAAAAGGCCACCCACTGTAGGTGGGTGCTATGGCTGTGTCCCAGTTGCATTACGAAGTCTCAGAATTCAAAGGATTTTATTTGCTTGTGACATGCTTAAAGTTCCTGAGCATTTATTGTTTTATTCCTTGAGGCCAGGAACTGTGAATGGTTAAGGAGCTGTTTCATTTTGTACCTAAGGATACAATGAAATGGTCCAGTAGCTACTTTAACCAAACAGCTTTTACAGTCCAACTGTATCATAGTAAAGCATTAACACAGCCACATTTTTGCAATGAGCAGCTGTTCATTTATGATATAAAACCCTTAAAGAAGGAGGGGGAAAAAGAAAGCTTGAGTTAACAATTCAATTATCTGTGTGTGCAATGAAGAATTAGGGTGAATATAAAATGAAAGTTCCAGAGAGTAATGTGGGAAACAATATGCCCTCTCCTGGCAACATTTACTTTACCTCTGGCCCTACACTGGGAGTTCTGGGGTGTAACCATCACCTCCACTTCCTGAGTGCTCTACTCCTATAAATTCATATGTTCACAATTGAAGACTATCTACCACACACTGCAAGGATCAAATCCACATTCCCTCTTAGGGCATTGCAAATCTGTAATAGCTGACTTAAACTTATATTAGCAGTGAGAATCTTCCATATAAAGCTCAATACGATTCACAAATTTTTTCCATGCCTAAGGTGTGGCCAAAAAGCTGGTCGTGATCTACAAAGCCTCCAGAGGTCGCATCAGGGTGCAGAGTCATCAAACCAGGGGCAGAGGTCAAAATCTACATTTTTCTACAGTATATTTTGTTACCTTTCAGAGCTACATCAATAGGTTGTTACTGAATAGATTGCATGTACTTTACAGCCTGCATTAAGTATATTATAAGTATATATATAAGTATATTTGGATAAATTCTGGCATAGTTAAGTATTATTTACTGCAGGGCACTCTCTCAAGGTGGCTGGGTATAACACTGGAAAGACTTGGCCCTTGAGTGCATACTACATAGGGAAACATGAACACAAGCTTGTTGGTGGGCCCCAGGCATTCTGTATTTGGGCATCAGCTTTTTATGGGATTTGGGGGGAATGACACTTTCCCAATACCTGGAGTCTCAGGACCTTGTGAGAAATTTCAGTTGAAACTTCAGTCAGGTGAAAACAAACACTGACTCTGTGTGCAGGTGACTTAGGGAAAGTTCCACTCTCTGGGAGATGGGGAAGAACCAGTTCTAGTTAGCTAATCCTTCAGGCAACCAGAGTGAGCACTGTTATTTGTGGGCAGTTCTGCACCTTGCATCACAAAGATGACAAACATAACATCAGAAGTGGAGCAGAGGGGTTTAGGAAAGTCCTTTTCAGGTCACCGTAGGTAGGGATTTTTTTCATAGGCATTGAGGCATCACTATAACTCTTATAGCAATAATTAGGGAGCTCAGTGAGTTCAGATAGCGATGGAGATGCAAGTCTATAGTCTTATCTCATCTATATGTACATATATGTGAAAATCTGAATCACATTTCTGGGAAACATGAACATTAAGTGAACATCTGATTAAGAATTATTGCTAATACTTTGAAATATGATGATGTTAGTTATGTATTTAGAAAAGCATCTTTCAGGGATACATTAGTACCATTGACAAGAAGAAATGAAAGGATAACTGGAATTTCATAACCCAGGGTGTGGGAGGGATGGAAAAACTAGATTGGGATTAGAGATGAAGCAAGACTGGTCGATGGTTAATAATTTTTGTTACCTGGTACTTTATTGCACTATTTTCCTCTATTTTTGTATACGCTTGAAATTTTGTAAGTTTTCTTTTTTAAAAAAGAAAGTAATCTTAGTTGTCTTGGAAAAACCCATGTGATGCCATAAGTAAACAAGTATTTAATTAGTCTGGCTTTCTTCTTTCTTTTTTCATCAGTGATGGGTGGTGGAGGCTGCCCACACATGGTCTTCTCTGGACCATTGGCCCATCTGGTCACAAGGCAAGGTTCCCAGGCCTCCCACTGTCATGTTGTCTCCAGGAAGCCCTGTCTGGCTCTGCCCAGGGTTTCTCAGTGGTTGTCTTGCTTGAGTTCCAGCTTTTACCCTCTCCTCACATCTATTTTCACGAGTGCTGCTGACCCATAATTCCTTCCCTTCTCTTCCCAGAATATCTTAAAAACATAAACGTGGGTAGGTAATTCTTTTACTTGAAGCTTTTCACTGGTTCTTTGAGTCCTTATGAATAAAGTGCAACCCTTTTGAAGGGGCTGAGGGGGACCTTCAGTCTCTCCAGAAGGTCACACCATCCACACTCCCCAGTCTAACCTCCTAATTCACTTCTTGCAGAATCACTGCCTTTCCTTAAAAGACGCTCTTTCCTATATTTTTATTGGTGCTTTATAGTCGTATAATGGTGGGATTTGTTGTTACATATTGGCACAATATATCAATAGAGTTTGGTCAATATCATTCCCCAGTACTTCTGCTTTCCCTTCCTGCCTCCCACCCTGCTGGTCCCTTTCCTCTACTGATCTCCCTCTGATTTTCATGAGGTCAAACCCCCGACCTTTCTTTTCCTTTTTTTCTCTCTAGCTTTCACATATGAGAGAAAATATATGACCTTTGACTTTCATTTAACATAATGTTCTCAAGTTTCATCCATTCTCCTGCAAATGACATAATTTCATTCTTCTTTACGGCTGAATAAATGTGTATATATACCGCATTTTCTTTATCCATTCATCCACTGATGGACACTTAGGCTGCTTCTCTGATTTGGCTATTGTAAATTGTGCTGCCATAAACATGGGTATGCATGTATTACTGTATTATGATGAATTTAATTCTTTAGGATAAATAATGAGGAGTGATATTGCTGGGTTTCATGGTGGTTCCTTGCCTAGTCTTTCGAGTAACCTCCATACTGATTTCCATAGTGGTTACACTCATTTGCAATCCCAACAGTGTAAAAGTAATCCTTTTCTTTACTTCGTCTCCAGCATTTATTGTAGTTTGCATTCTTGATGGCTGTAAAAGGCACCTTTCTAACATTGTCAGTCTGCACACGTTATTCCCTGTGCACAGACATCCTTCTTCCATCTGTTCTGGAGAATTTCTTCTACTTCAAGACTGGGGTGCAGATGTCTTATCTTTCAGGGAGCCTACTTGGCCCCTCCGGTTCTCTCTAGGGGCCTTTCCTATGACACCTCACAACTCCAATACATTCTTCTTGTGCTTTTCAATTTTTTATTTTCATTCTTTCCTCCAAGGAGAAAAAACATTAATTCCCCTGAATGAGAGAAATTAAATAATAAGGAATAAAACTCAGGTAGGGTTGAGCTTCAGAGAGCCTCAAACTATTGTCATGACTGTAGTATCTAAGATTCTTTGCTCCTTCAGAACCAATTTTTGTCCTCATCAAGAATGTATGTTCCAGCATGTACTTTTCCTTCTATATCTTAATTGATCTCTTTTTTTGCTTCCTTCCTTACAATAGGATCATCTTGAGAATATAGGTTTTTATCTTCATATCCCCCAGCATGTGTGGAACTAGGGAGAATTCAGTAAATGCTTAAAAGGAGCAAAAGTGTAGATGAATCTAGCATGCAGACTGGTTCCCAGGAAGAGACCTCTAGGAGACCCTGAGTCAGCACCCTTGCTGTGCCATGGTCTACCTTCCTTCTCCAAGGCAGGTAACACAAAGCCAACCTGGCTCTTGCAACTCTTGTGAAACTAAGATCTGGACTATCACCCCGAGGACCAGCAAACCCAAAACTCCCTCCTGCCCCAGTTCCAAGAGTGCTGAGTCAGTTCCAGGCTGAACCTCCAGTTCCATCTGTCTTCTTGGGCTCTAGCCCAACTGGCATCTGAAAGGTCTTGCGCTCAGGAGGAGAGTACTAACTACAGTTTAGAAGGCTAAGCTCAGACCATTTTGGAGGTGGAAATACTCCAAGGTCCTCTCTCCTTGAGTCTGCTGCAGCTTAAAAGCTTAGAAAGAAGCCGTTAGAGCATTCAGCCAGAAGAGAAACTTTCTGAGA